AACAAGTCTTTTTATTCCATGGACAGTAGCACAAAAGCAAGATAAATATTTTTACAGCTATTCCAATGTTTGGATCGAACTGGCATCGGTCATCAAGAGGGAATGAATAGAATGGCAAACAACTACTGGGTCAGGTAATGTTTGACCCGATTGGAGGACGCTTGACCGGTCGTTAATTAACCAAATAATCTGGCGTCACGCCGCATATAGTCATGTTTCGCACATTTACGCAATAAAATACGTTCATTTATCTAACACCGCGAGAACCTCGAAAATGCTCGTGTCGTTCTTTAAAACTTGTCTAACTTAATTTAGCAAGGCAGCGATAATATCCTATAAGGCGAGTATATGCTGATGTCCTATGCTTCACTTCACTGCTGTCGTACCATATGTCATGCATCGAAATGAACTTACTCTCCTCAGCAATCGGATAGTTCCAAGGGACAATCTTGACGGCAGCGCCGCGATGCAGTAAGCAACGAATCTGGTTATTCTTGATTCCACAGTCGACCACAAGTACCAGCGGCTTAGTGGAAGCATCGCCGATAGTGCACACCTCGTGACGAGACACCTCGGCTACCAGATTGCGTTCGTTGATGTCCAAAAACTCGTATGACAGAGGATCGTCATTGTTAATCACCAGCTAAACGCTTGTTAAAAAAAAACATATAACAAACTCAGTTTCTGCCACACCTTTGCCTCCATCGATCCGTACTCTCGGATCCTCTTCGTCAGAAGTCGAGTGTCCACGCCGGCAATGCCCGGAATGCCAAATTTACGAAGCCAGCTGCTAAGGTCGAACTTTGCATTCCAGTGACTGAAAGAAGCTGAGTCGCAAGCCTCGCTGACCACCAAACCGGACACCCAGATCTTTCTCGACTCGTAGTAACGCTCGATCGCGTCTTGGTCAAGCTCGTCAGATGGCACACCGTAATTTCCGATTAATGGATAGGTCAACACCAGCAACTGTCGGCAATAAGACGGATCGGTGAGCGATTCCACGTAGCCAACCATGCCCGTTTGGAACACTAAACAATTTTTTGTGTCAGTGACTTCGATACTGTGCATTTCTGGCAGCTGACATTAACGAACTTCTAGCTACACAATGAAAAGGTTACGGATATCAGAACTTGCAAAGGGATAACGAAAATTAATGGAGAACGGAACATTGGCACCGCCATCCTGTTTAATGCATAAGGTAGCTTTACAATGTCTGTTCATCACGCCATTAATCTCTGGAACGAACAGACAATGGCAAGTGAAAAATGAAAAGTCTGGTGTCCCCTACTGACAACGAG